GCTGACATTTGTTGGGGGAAAAGTGTCTTATTTCATGTAAATAATACTCTTTGCCTTTTGGAGCTCAGTCTGTCCAACCATACTTGAAAGGAAAATTTCCTGTTGCATTTCTGCACCTTTACATTTGTTGACAAAATATAGTATCTTCTTCCTATTCTGCTTAATTAAGGAAATCGGAGACTGGCTTTGGGGAGATAAGAAATGTGCCTTTGAAAATCGGCTGTGTTCAGTGGGTTTCTTAAGACAAATACAGAACACAACAAAGCACGATCTGTGGACATTTATTTGGTGGTAAGCATCTTACAAATATGGGCGGGCTATTGAGCAGTGCTCAGCCAGTGTCCCAAATTCTGGCTATGAGGGCATTGATACAGAATATACACTGAATGTGGGTTACAAAAAGAAATTCAAAAACAAATTGCTGCTGAAAAGAAATGACTGAATATCAATGAATTAGCATTCATTTTCATTGTGGATTATAGGTAGTAACATCTTCCTTAAGCTGAACATAGTTTCATATGTAATACACAGTATGAGATTTACACAACAGAACCGTTAAGACAATTTGGATGAAACCTTACTAAACAGACTTAAGGAAACAAGTTCTATGTTTCCAAAAGGTGATTTAAAGAAAGGTTTAAAGAAACTTTTTCTGAATACTGCACACACAATAGCTAAAGGTGAGGATTTTGGGGTGTCTCAACTCCTTCCAGTAAAGTAGCACTCTCCCCACTACAAAACACCAACTTAAGAATGGACCAATACATGTCATTGGAGGGAAAAAAAAAAAAGCAAGAAAGCTCCCAGGGAAATTTCCCATACACCCCCCAAAGCAGCAGACATCCCCTTTTGCTTCCTGCCAACAGACACAGGTCTTGAATCTTCTTCTTCCCCCCCCACCCCCCCACCCCGGGAAGGTTTGGCACCAATCACGGAACTTTCAATTCACAGAATATACAATGCATGATAGCGGACCCTATCGAGACAGAAACGGACATAGGCGCTTGTGATGGCACGAGAAAAAACACTGGTAACCACCACTTTTGGTAGCCAGAACCCTTCGAGGACATTGAGACATGCACGCATTACTGCGAGTTTCCATAGGAATTACAAACCATATAGGATTTGTTAGGGCCTCCAGAGTTTCACGCATGGGATTGGGGGGAATCCTAGCAGGAACGTGAGAAGTCTTCAAAGCCGACTATCTGACCTGAATGTTTAGACCGTATACATACCTGCTCTAGAGAGGGATTTTACATTTCGTCCGTTCCTCTGGCGGAACACTGACTACGCGGGGTAGTTTTAGGACAGAGAACACGGGGGTGGGGGGATGTAACGCAGGATGAAGGAAGCCCCATAGCAATTCCCATGATTTGCTCCACGGCCACCCTTGAAATCTTCCTGGTCTCTTGGCCCTCAGCAGCCAGGCCGCAGTGGCATCTGCAGCAGCAGTACTTGCCGACTTTCTGAGGGGTGGCACTTATTGATGTGCCGGGTCAGCCCCGGGGAGCTAAAAAATGTAGAAGGGCAGTGCTTGCACGAGAAAATTTGCTGGGCACTCCCGTCAGATACCCCACCTGGGCCCGGCGCTTCGGGAGGAGCCCCCGCCAGGGCAGGCAGGAGCAGCTCCTCGCGGACAGCGTGCCACAGCCGGTGTTTGTCCCTGATATCTGCAGACGGGAAGTGTGCCCCACACAACGGGCAAGCGAAAGCGAGAGGGGCGCCGTGTTCGGAGCCAAAGCCCGAAGCTAGCGCACGGGCCGAGCCCGCCTCGTGAGTGCCCAGGTGCTTGCGCAGATAGGCTTGGCGACGGAACTTTTTGTGGCAATATGGACAAATGAAAATCTCAGCTCCCCCGCCACCACTGTCACTTCCCAGCCCAGGCACCCGGCGTCCCAACACCCCCTCAGTATAGGGGGTCTGTGGCAGAGGGGATTCGGGGAGCGTCAGCACCTGGAGGCCCTGGCGCGGGGCGCTGTCCTGGTGCTGATCCGCCCCGGAGCTGTCCCTGGCCGGCGGGTGCTGATCCGCAGTCCGTTCTGCCCGACTGTTTTCCTTCCCCTCTACCAGGAAAGATGCAATAGCCCCAGAGTCCCGGGAGGACGAAGACGACACAGAGGGCGGCTTCCCGTCGACGGAGACGACTGTGGCAGCGTTCGCTGCTGCGGGACGCGGCTTGTGCCAGCGGCGATGGGAGGCAAGGTTGGCAGGACAGCTGAAGACCTTGTCGCACTCGGGGCAGCGGTACTCGACGCGCACGATGCGGGAGCAGCGGTGCTGCGCCAGCGCGAAGGGGTCTGCGTACTGCTCCTTGCACAGCTGGCAGATGAACTCCCCCAGCGGCGTGCGGCTGCCCCCCAGGCCCCGGGACGGTGCTCCGGGCTCCTCCTCCTTGATCTTCAGACCCAGGACAGGGGATGTAGTCACCTCATCTGCAAAGCTCAACTTTCTCATAGCCTTTGGCTTCTTGATTCCCGCGGCCGCAGGTCCGGGCGCACAGGTCGAAGGTACCTTGGCGCGGCGCTCGCCGGCGGCGGTCCGCCTCACACCGTGCAGGGTGGCCGAGAGGGGCGCGGGGTCCGGCTGCAGCGCGGGCTCTGGGAACGGTGCCCGGAGCGGCAGGAGGCAATGCGCCCCCGGGGGCGGGGGGG